AGTGTTTTGCAGTAGGTTGTAATAGATGGGATTTCTGTCAAATTGGCTTGTTCTTTGGTCATTTGTTGGCTCTTGTCACTGGGAATTGTTGAAAACGGCTTCAGGCAGATCTGGACTCAGGGCTCAGAGGATATCTTTACTCTCGCCATATCTCAGCTTTGCACGTTTCTGGATTGGCGTCATTCTCCAGCAGGCTGTCCTCACATGGGCACGCAGATGACATTTGCAGCACTAGACTTCTGCCCTGCCAACTTAGTAACTGTAGCAGAAGGATGGTGACTCCAAAAGTAGCTCCAACTAGTCACGGAGCTACTGTGATTGGCAGAACTTGGATCATAAACCCGTCTGTCAGCTGAGCCTTGGTCAGACAGAGTCTTCTGGGTGATGTGCCCATCCTTGGAGGCATGGGAAGTGGGGGAGACGGGGTCAGGACTGGCACCAGTTCAAGCCACCTGAATGGAACAGAATTGCCTGGTCGCTGTGGGAAGTGCAGTTAGTGCAACAAAGCGATGCTGGCCGACCAGAGCCATGGGCATCCCATCTGATGGGGGGAGTTGAGGCACTGCAGTATTGCGCTGCTTTAACAAGCAGTGATGGGCTGTGGTTACTAACCCAGAGAGATACCGGTAGCACATTGTGTAAGTGAAAGAAGAAATTCACAAAAGAATAGGTACAGGAGGATCCAATTTTGGTTTGAGGATAAAAAAAAAAGATCCATAAATCTAGAAAAAAAAGGAGCTTAATCATGGTTATTTCTAGGTGATAAGTTGATGGTAACATCTTTCTTTCCCTGTATCTTTCTGTACTGTCTGAAAAAATTATACACTGAGAATTTCTGTTATAACCAGGGAAAAGGGTAAAACCGTTTCTATTTAAAGAAAAGAAAAACTTAATGTATTGAAGTTTTCACAAGACTTGATGAAGTCAGAACTAGGAAGGGTGAAGAGGAGAGGGAGTTGATGGATTTTTGAGAAGCTGACATCCCCGGGTCTCAGTGATTGTTTGGCTGTGAGGTGGGGGAGGGAACCCAGGGCTGGCTATGCCCGTGGTCACCCAGTGGCATGGGGGTACCCAACACTGCAGGGCTGGCTGTGGTTAAAGGCTGGCAGACAACCTGTAAGAATGAATTTTGTACGAGTCTGAGATGTTTAGAACTGAGTGGTTGAAAAAAAAGTCAGACTTAAGAGATTTATGCAGTTGAAAGAAGGGTCAATTTGACATGATAAAAATTTTGAGTTGTGTTCCAGAAGAGAACATGATTACTGCTTAGTAAAGATGGTCTATACCTCACTTACCAAGGGAGGGCAGAAACTCATCCTTGTGTTGTAATTCCTCAGTCCCTAGCTTCTAAGCCTGGTCTGTAGAAAGAGTGCTCTAAAAATGTTTGTCATTGAATTAAAGATTCCAGCTAAACTAATAGTAATTCTTCAAAGAAGTCATCACAGTAATCTGCTCAGGAAGCTCATCAAACTGATTCGTAATCATTTGTAAATGGGTGCTTGTCTTGTGCATAAAAGAATGATTTTCTTAATAAGAAAAAAATGTCCTAAATTCTTTAAAGGTCATCATTGTTTAGCAAATCCTTCCAGTTTATAGCACGTAAAAATATCAACTTTGTCCCACATACATATAAGTTGCTCTAGAAACTAAGAAAATACTCCATATATTATAGATATATGTATATTATGTAATTATATACTATTATATATTATTAAATGTATGATATTTTATATAATAATATAATACAATGTATTAAATATTATATAATAGTTATATTTATATATATTATATAGGACTTTCTTGTGTATTTTGGTCTACCTTATAACATTATTTTCCTCTGAAGCAGATTTACCACTACGATTCTCAGAGTCCAGAAAGTAAAATATTTGGACTCTGAAGCTGCATATTAGAATGCTTTAAGGAGCTTGGGCTCTGGAAACAGCTGGTCTGACTCTGAATCCCCACATTTGCCATTTCCTGGCATGTAAACTTGAGTAGTTTAAGTAATTTGCTCTGTGTTCTTATCTGTACAAACATGTTCTGTGGTGTCATGAAGGTGTAATGAAGTGGCTGCTATAAAGCACTCAGCACACAGAACACAAGTATCACCTTTTTTTTTTCCTTTGGAATCATATTTTTTACCTCCTGGGATGGAGTGATTTCCAAAAGTACCAGATTTCCTGTGTCTCATTGCTGATGGGATTTCTTTGATTGGCCTTGAAAAGTAAATACCTTCTCTTTGAAACCAGCTGAAGTCTGGGTGCCCATCTGAAGGCCAGCTGAAAGACAGAGCCTGGCCTGAGGGTCGATCTCCACATCAGCTGATGTGTGTGGCTTTTGCTTTATTTTAAGCAACTTTAGGAATGCTTGTGCTGAGACCAGAGCTCTGGGTGGGGATGTCACCAACCAGGCACCCAGCTGCTGGTCGGCTCCTTGGAGGCATCACACATCTGAATCACCTGTCTGGCCAGTCTCAGCTGAGCATCCTTCCGTGTTGCAGACACTCAGTGTCCTGTGACAGGTTCATGGTGGCCTGGGAGGGGACATGGAGGGTCTGCCCGGTGCTGGTGAAACGTGGCAG